TAATTAATACAACCCATCTTTTAACATTTAACCAAACCGTAATGAATACTGCTATTCCATTTTTCGCTCATATAAACTTAATAAATTTTTTTTTTACTTCTTGTTGCTGCAAACAACTTTCGCTAATGATTCCATAAGTTGCTTTTGCAACAAAGGGTTAATATTGGTAAAATAATTAAAGGGAAAAGCCGACGTAACTGAAACTGAAGATTCGACCGTCGGTTGAACAGAATTTTTTTTTATTGGATTTTTTAGACGTTTTAAGGGGCATAACGAAGATCATGAAAAATAGAAAAAGAGTATGCAAGTATTTAATTCTATAAATATCGCTATTGATTGTGATGCTTGAGCGTCATCACGATCATTCTTTAATCAATTGATTTAGATACCTAATTCTCATCACACCTCAATCAGAGCCTGCCAATATTAGGGGTTAGTTTAAAAGTGTTTAGTTTAGTATTCAGTACAGTTGTTGGTTATTATTATTGCGATCTTATCCCGAAATATATATTGATTCCGTTGCGGTTACAATTTTTACAACGTTCAAATAAGTCAAGTACATTAGGTGCAAGGATAATTGTATAAAAAAAAAAAAAAAATCTTCCCACTTTGACACGAAAATTTTTTAATTATTTAATCAATATAGCATTCTATCAGTCCGTGAATACAAAGAAAAAAATGAATACTAAACTTATTTTGGAACACTTATTTTAGTGACTGGAATGCAATATCATAATTATTTAGCTAGCATAATGGTTCAATTCAGTGTAACAGTGATAGTATTATATTTAGTTTAATTAAGAATTTTGTTCACCCTTCAAGCGATTATATATGACATGCAGGACATTTCGTTGTTTTTTATGCATGATTTTGACATTTTTGACATGTACTGTACATACGTATGACGTATATGTCCTCAAGGCGTCAATCACATTCTAATCTGGTGCAAGACTTAGTAACGGTTATCAGGTCTTATCAGGTCTTGCGGATTAAACCGAGACTAGCACTTAGAAAATTATTTGAAACTAGGACAATATAAATTGCATTGTATAGACAAGATTTGTATTTAAATAAAATTAAATAAATAAAAAATATAAAGCTAGTTTTTCTCGAATTAACACTATAATCTTTTGTCATACCTATCTCTTTTGATACGGCATACCAAGTCATGAAGAACTTATAATATAAAACAGAGCATTCTTAAATAAGTATACAGTACGAATTAAATTCAAGTATTATTAAATACCAATTTATAAATTAAAGTATAAAATCTCTTGCTTTTTACTCCAAATTTTTTTTCTTTTTTCCTTAAAGAAAAATTTTCAATTATGACCAACTCCACAAATATTAGTGCTCAACCGCAAAATAATAATGGTCAGCCGCAAAGGCCTCGTAATATCGGTGGTTCACAAAATGCTGTTGGCCTACTTCCAAGAACTCTAAATTCAAATACTGGTATGCGGTCTTTAATACCTCAAAATGCTAGAGGTCTACTTCAAAGAGCTCAAAATGCTGGCATACAGTCTTTAAGACTTCAAAACACTACAAATCTATCCGTCGATGCTTTCGACGAAGTTCAACAAAAATATACCGACTTAATAGGAGGTGCAGATTTATTCCCTAAAATTCATGGTATGGAAAATCCTGCGCCACAGGACATCCAATTCCAAATTCTTCTAATTTTAGGTGACTCTTTCCCGTAAATATGGTTGTGCATAAATATATTTTTCTTTAAGCTGGTTTTTTATATTTCTTGTTCTAAAAGCAAACTATTTTAAATGTATGAGTTAAAATATTTCAACTTGCTGACTTATATGCATATTTCTATGATAACATTATATTATTATGTAAGGAATAATTGGAGTCAAAAAAATAGGATGGATTATGGAAATATGATGCACTATAACTGAACATTTTTGTATTTTCATTCCAATAAAATTTTATAAATCAATATTTTCGATGTGATTAATTTATATATGGTAAGTTTTTTGACTTCACCTAAAATTATTATGTCCGATAATCAATAAACCTGGCATAATGTTGCCAGCGATAATGAGGATAATGTTGAAAAGTTATTAATGACTATAGGAAAATACGATCTTTCTATGAAATTAAGACTACCTTTATCAACCTGCCTGTCACAAAAATTATACATTATTTAGTTTTTACTATATTTTCTTATGTGAAACCTCAAATAATTTTATATCTTATTATGAAGGTCCAAATAAAATTCAACAATAATTTTGATTACTTTGAATTTTAAACGTCTTCGACCAAATATCAAAGAAAGAGAAAATGTGTTACAAATTATACAAATATTTTAGGTTAGCTCAGAGTTTAATCCCGTTATTTAGGAGTTATTTATCTGATTTATTTTGCATAGAAATAACTTTTAAATTGGCTAGACAAATAATTAAAAATTTACGTCAGATCCATTGAGTGAGGTGCTTGAGAACGGCCTTAGTCTGAGTAAGTAATTGGGGAGTT